ACGGTCTGGGTTTGACATACCGTGCCTCCGTTTATCCTTTGTTAGATTTTTTAATACAATATAATGTTATTACTTGCAATGTTATTACTTTATATTTTAATATAAATGTAGCTTTGTTATTAACTCACGCTGACCTTCTTGACTTGATTGTCGGGTTTAGTTGCACGTGAATGTAGTAACAACAATTTCGATAAAAATCTACAACAGTTCAACGTCCTATAGTTAAGTAAACAGCCTTATTGCAACTGTCGTGTAGAAACTGCAGTTGCACATGTGCATTCATCCGTTAAGTGTATTTTGCAATTTTTACCGTAATGTTGTAAGGGGGGAATGGCGTCGTATGTGATAAAAAGAGGGGAAAACGCGACATAATAAAAATTATACAATGATATAAAACAGGTTCAACAACAAAAAACACTCCATACTAGGCGATCGCAAGCAGTTGTGACTATATCTTTACTTTATTTTTAATATTAATGCATCTTATCCTGATTATAAAGTTTTCTTTCAGTGTTTTTGGTATTCCTTGATAGGTAAGTTGGCTGTTTTTTGTTGTCTATAAAAACTAAAACTATACTGGATTTTGTAAGAAATTTATGAAAGTACCAAAATTAAATGTAAATGTTAAATGTAACTCTTTGTGTTAGAACACTATTAACATTTTATAAGCTTATTGTAATATACTTAGTTATTGTAATAGACTTAGTTACTGGCAACACACTTGACGGACGCAAGACCTAGCTACCCGACCGAGCTAGGCACATCTCTGTACCTGTTTTTGTGTGTCATCATTCCTTATTGGCGCTAAACAGTCGAAAGTCTATGTGCTTACCCCAAGAGGGCCTGTAAGCAATTTAAGTGGGGAGTGAAATATGGGTAATGGGTGCATTGTGGGTAATTTGACTAATAATGTAAGAATGCCCCAAATAAAAGGACACAAGGACTGGGTCTTGCAGTCTGTACTAAAATACGAAAGGTTTTATTATATTAATAGGAACTACATTAATAATAACAATAGTAATAAATCATTTCTTGCATAGAGAAACCCGCGTGTCATCGGATTTACGTTGAGCGTTTATCCGCTACTCTCAGACTTGAACCGTCTGACGAAACATTTAGGCGCCGACTGAAAGACCTTTTCTTGAAAAATCCTTTATACTCTGTAAATTAATTTATGGACTTGTAACGATTGTTATCAACTTATGACGATCCTTGATGGAGAATGATATTTGATATGCAATTTAATGACAACAATTATGAATTGTTAATTTTCTAATTATTGTGTACTTTTCTTATAATTTTCATTTTTGTCTAACGATCTCAATATAATTTCTTATACTTTGACATGTAGTGCAATGTATACTGTAATGTTATATTTGCGAAATAAATGAACCTGAATCTTTCAGGCAGTAGCCCATAAGGTAATGGTGTTAGTTACAACAGAAAACCTTAAAAATATGTTAGCATGATTGCAATGAATTTTGAAAATTTTATTAAAAATTTTTCAATATTGAACTACAAAAATTAGAATTAAGAAAATTGACACATTATTACTTAATTTGATCAGTAGCAATTTTGTAATAACATTCCGATTGTTATTCAAAATTTGCCATTTACGAGGTTTAAAACTACATATGAAATAAAAACTTTATACTAAAGGTTATTACACAACTTCTGCGCACTTGGACGACAAAAATCCGCAGTAGTGACCCGCTTCGCTCTTTCCGGTATTCTCGATCTAAATAATCTATCTAATCTAATCGAATCGATTTAATGTTTAAATTAAATATTGTTATGATAAATGTATTCAAATGTATATTTACAAGAGCAACCCCTAAAGTGTCTTGTTCATTCTTCTCAGGGGAATCTACCATACGAATGAGCAGGACAAAAATTTAAATCGGTTCACGAATGCCTCATAGTATAGCCTCATAGTAGAATAGCAGTATCTGAGAATTGGACTGTGTTATTTTAACGCTACGTGATACAACACGAGGGCAGCATAGCTGGTGTACAGTAGTGGAGAGGGCTCGACTGCTTCGGACTATTTATTGCGTATTAGGTGCTGAGTCAAATTTGAATCTTACGAGATTCGTAACTTGCGTCATTTTGTTTCGTAAAACGAATTTTGCAACGTCACTTTCAAAAATGTTTCATATTTTGCTAATACTGGAGTTGTTATTGCTATGGGCCGTGCAATAAGGGCAGACGAGTAAAGATGTTAAGTCTCAAGGCCGGGTTTTTAGTATAAATATAAATAAATAAATAAATAAATATTAAACAACATACGTTGCTCTGATCCTAAAGTAAGTTACTAAAGCACTTGAGATAAGGAAATCGGAAAATCGACGGTATCACCAACACCCAGACCTGAGAAAATGTAGAGAAGTTTTTCTGCATTGACCCGGCTGGAGATTGAACCTGGGACCTTAGAGGTTCACTCTCTTTACTCTGCTACGGAGATCGTCGTAGGATAGCAAATTAGTAGCAGAATAGCTTGTTGTAAAATATTTCGTCCAGGAAAGTACTGCCACCGTCTTCTCAGTATGTAATTTAAGCATTACTGCATTACGGCCCGGTTTTGAACGGAAAGAAGGGTAGTTTCATTTAGTTTAGCTTTTGTTTATTTCTCTCAACATTACAAATTTCATATAAATACTATATTTTATGCTACTATTCGAAAAGCGAGCTTTAGTTTACAAAATAATGAGAAATAATTGGACGTAGTTAAACAAAACGGGTACATACACTGCTTTATCTACACACATCATTAACTTTATATTGTAAGTCAATGACACACATATTATAAGCTCTCTGTGATGTGTTTAGGAACCGCGTGTTACGACTGGCGAAATGGCGGCAAATAAAAACTTTTCTCACGCATATAACACAACCGTAGTTTTTATTTTTAATTCATAGACAAACTAGAATCGGCCCCAACTATCATATCGTTCGATATCAAGTAACGTGTGAAATTGTCAAAATTGTTTGTTGCGGTTTTTGAACACATTATAGGGAGTTTATGATATGTGTGTAGATAAAATAATTTAGTTCTGTATATAGTACTTTGAATGTACTCTATTACTGAGTAAAGGTGAAATTATATAGGCACATGGTGCTATTCAACTTGTCTCAGGGTGATGTTCAGACAGCTCTAAGTGGCATTGCAACTGCTATGCACAGGCGTGTCACTTACCACCAGGCGCACGGCTTTTTGTCCCGCCACTTGGTATCATAAGTCATGGAACAAAAACTGTTGTTTATGATGCTAATAATACAGTCCTGTGAGGTTGTTAATATTTTACAATTAACCCGGTACATCATGATGAACTTTATTTGAATCCAGTAACGTTTGCAAATTGCTATTACATTTTTTATTTATTATACAAAGGAGGAAATCCGCTAAAGTCACAGGCACGGCAGAAATTGACAGATGACATATATTACAGCGTGTACTTCTATTTGTTATTCCGTCGATGGCGAACATACTAACATAGCTATGTCAGATGAAGAAACGCGTTCAGATACTAACTTGAAATGATTAACAACCGGAAAACTATTCATATTTAGTTATGTAAAAGAAGCACACTCTATTTACTTTATACTTTTGTTAAGTTGTTTATTGACATGGAGTAAATGTTAATAAAAATAGGGACAGTTTTCCAGGGAAAGTTTTTATGAAAATCAAAACAAAACAACAATAAAGTACGTTGTTAAAAATTCGAATTATTATAGATTTTAAATTAGTAATTATTGGGCATGGAAATTAATATTTGAGCGCAATCGGTAATCCGATGATTGCCGAGGAACATTGAGAAAATAGAAGCACTGTAATACCGCTGCAATATGGTCGCATCATTCTTGGAGAACCAAGTAAACTTCTCGAATTTCCCACGCTACTCGTAGGCGTCGTCGTAGTTCAGCCATTGACCGCTAGATGGCAGCACGTTGAGTGAAAATTCAATATAAAATCGAAACGTTACTTGCAATAATAGGTATTGTACTTTCAATGATATGTCAACAGCGTAAATTTTAAATTATATTAACAGTTCAGAATTTGTTGCGTCTTTCTAAGTTAAAAACTACGACCAATCATTACCAAGATTTCTTAGGAATGTGTGAGTTTTGGCGACAGAGGTTCTGATAGCATTCGAGGCTTTAGGCACTTCCATTGTTCTTTTAACGATATCCGATTTCCGGGATTTCCAGGTTTGATTCCTGGGCCGGGAGAAATATTTGTATATAAATAAATAAATATTTGTGTGCCCTCATTGACTTACAAATAAATGGACGACGGGTCTAATACAAAAACCACGAAAAAAATGTCCCAAGTCAACCTATTTAAACGTAGTGACATGTAAAGGAATTTGAAAAAGCTAAAACGTTGAATTTAAATTGTAATGTCATCGCAGTACTGTCTAATTCTGCTTGCTTCGCTGTCAGTCGAACAAACGAAGACTAAAGCGTGAATGACGCTTTGTATATGATTTTAACGCCCTATAAGTTCGGACACTTTTTAGCGCGGACCCGACGTCCATATAATTGTAAGTCAATGTATGCCCTACATTTATTTCTCTCGTGAGTGTCGGTGTAATATGTGGTTGTCTATGTTTGTGTCCATGGCACCCGCGGTACAGGGTTTCCCTAGTGCGGGGCTGTGAGTGTGTGCGTTAAAAAAATAAATAAAAAACACTATAAAATCTAGCCGTTTCTTGATTTTTAATTCCACACACAGACTTCTTATACCCGAAAATGGACTTCTTATACCGATGAATGGATGGAAATGTTGGTATTATAATATTCATATACCAAATATACTTTCAATATGTTTGTATGCCAAATGTTTGGCCGGACACAGTGAACCTATACCTACTCATTTTGTACATGTCAACTTACATATCTAACCTGTGTTTTCACAAATAAATGAATTATTATTATTATTATTATTATTATTATTATTATTATTATTATTATTATTATTATTAAATGTTCGTTTTCAGTTGTTCGAGAAAGTCCGCAACATGCGAGGTGGCGTTGAACCTCTTCTTAAGAAGCTTACCCTCATCCCTGGAGACGTAAGCTTGCCTGATTTAGGACTTCGACCTGCTGATCGCCAGAAAATTATTGATGACACCCACATTATCATACATGCTGCTGCTACCATCAGGTGCGTCCTACTTAAGAAAGGTTCTTTTGTAAAAATGTGGTGGGGATGGTGTACAGGTTATCCTTATACAGTTATCTTTTGACAGTTGAGGACAGCTCGTGAGTATGTAGTTCAACGATGTGCTAACAAATGTTACCTCAAAAAAAATTCTTTAGTTTTTGCATCGTACCAAACATTTTCAAGATTAAGTGGGTGCTAACTATCGAGCATAATAATTATAATTGAAAAAAAAACCGGTCTCTACAGTTTGTGGAACATCTATTTGCCAAGTTTTATTGACATCGGTTCCTGGAAACCGGATTCATCCCCTAGTTTGTCACCCTTAAAAATGGAGGTATCCCCTTTCTAACAAAAAAAGAATCATCGAAATTGGATCACAAATGGCGCAGGAATCGCGTTACATACAAAAAAAAACACGAATTCAGAACAACTGTTACATGTATTGTTCGAATAATTTCTTGTTAATTGCTCTATAATTTGGAACTTTCAGGTTCGATGAGGAGCTGAAGAAGGCTGTAATGCTGAACGTTAGAGGCACTAAGCTAATAGTGGAATTGGGCAAGGAGTGCAAGCGTCTCGAGGTACCTAAATCTCATGGCTTTTGCTTTACAAGGGAACGCAAATTGCCGAGGGCTTTCTTGTCGAATCGTTTATCTGAACACGGACTTGTCTTGATATTATATAATACCAATAGATGGGACAAACAAGTCGTAAGTACGCCTGGTGGTAAGCGACATACTAATGCTCACATTACTGTGATCCGGTTTGGTGCTATTACAGGCACATGGGACTTGTCAACATAATTATGACTAAAGTGATGGGTCCCTCAGATATTTGCAATTTAAAATTTTGAATGGCACTGCAACTCCTTTGTCGGTGACCACAAGGCGCTCAAATTGTTCGTTCCGTCCACTTTCTATCAAAAGAAAAAATCTTTGTCCTCGACTATGTTTTCACCTAGCATTTTGCACACGTAGTTTTCACACAGCACATTTTCGCTTGTCCTAAAAATCGTACCATGTCATGATAATCCATCTATGTTATTTCCAGCTGCTCTCACACATCTCAACCGCCTATTGTCATCTGCACGAGAAACTTCTCGAGGAGAAGCCGTACCCGCCCCCTGCAGACCCCCATCAGGTCATCCAGGCCATGGAGTGGATGGACGAGGAGTCAGTCGCTGCTCTTACTCCGAAGTAAGTTTTTGTTTATAATAACAAGTGATGAGATGAATAAGCTATGCGCCCAGTGGTAAGTGACACAAATGTCCATAGTAGATGCAGTGTCACTTTAAATCGCAAATATTTACGGGGCATTGCCACTTTTCAGTTCCACCATCTTCATTATCACCCCAAGGTCCAATATCCTACAAAGCGGAAACCGTTAAACATTGACTTATAAATAAATGGACGACGGGTCTAATACAAAAACCACGAAAAAAATGTCCCATGTCAACCTATTTGAAATTTAAATTTATTTATTTATTTTATTTATTAGGTTCACCAACGTTGTGTACAATATTACTTATATTCGATATACATATATTATTTTATAATCTAATTGCCACAAACACTTAAAGGTAAACACAACATGCACTGACTAAAAGCTAACAGTGTCTAATAAAAACTAAAAACTAACAGTGTCTAAATAAAGTAAACAATAAAGATCACAATATGGAGCACAATATACTGAAGGTCACTTATTTGGTACAGTCGAGTAAGTGAGAAATTTTCTTCCGAATCTTGAGAGGTGAATCGTGGTGAATGTCAATGCTATCACTGAAACCATTCACCGTTCTACTCAACCTTGCGACGGGTGAGTTTGAGCCAAATACAGTTTTACGAGGTGGGACACTTAATGGACTAATTTTGTTACGCGGATATCTAAAGGGAACACGCAATTTGAATTTTTGAAGCAAATGAGAGCAATCCACTTCATGACGAAATATTTTTGACACAAATGACATATCCAAAAGAGTTCTACGTTTCTCCAAAGACATCACATTGAAATGTGATAAACGACGCTGGTACGAGGAGAGTTTTTTCTTGGAGATTCCACATGAGTACATTAAGTGCCAAACAAATCTTTTTTGAATGCGTTCTAAACGTAAGGAGTGTAAATTGTAATGTCATCGCAGTATCGCGCTGTCAGTAGAACAAATGAAGACTAAAGCGGAGTGTGGCGCTCTGTATACGATTTTAGCGCCTTACAAGTGCGGACACTTTTTAGCGCGGACCCGACGTCCATATAATTGTAATGCCGTTAAATAATAAAATGAAAAAGTTGTTGAAAATCAAATACACATTGAAAAATTCGTGAGATCCGCGTGGCTTAGTACAGCGTCTGGCACTTACTTGCTAGAAGACGTCAGATCGAATCCGGCCGGATCGAAGGAATTTTTTTTAAGTGGGTCGTTCTTTGTGTAAACAATTATAACAAACTAGTGGAATAATTTTACAAAGAAATAATTGATTATCAATTCAATACAAATTTAATAAAATGGAGACACACAAGAACAAGAATAGTACATAAACAACTTAAAACTAATGTGGGCAAAGGTGGTCTTATCGCTAAGAGCGATCTCTTCTAGACAACCTTAGAGTTAGAGGAAAGCTAATCGGAGCGGGAGACGTAGTGTGCCAATTTTACAAATATAAAAATAATAATATAAAAAAATAAAATTGTATAAATTAAAAAAACTACAAAATAAAAAAATTAAATAAAGACACATAGTAATTTATAAAATATTTAAAAAGTAATGATATATTATACCTACGTAGATATATATGTATATATAAATACACCTAAATAAACTTATACTTACTAATACACGTGTTGCAGACTAGGACTGTGATAAAAGATATCCGGTTTTGAAAATAGGTAGCGACTTAGAATGTCGGACTTCAAATGGGAGATCGTTCCACAATTTTGCAGCCTTAATCGTAAAGGAATTTTTGTAATATTCAGAGCGAGTGAAAGGGGGCTTCAGTAGGTTATCCATTATAGACCTTAGTTCACGGTTGTGATCATCCCCGAGGAAGCGAAAACGAACCTTAGGGTATGGCGGAGTAGGAGGGGTACGAGGGTTAATAAAATGAATTTATGGTTTTGACATTTTCTACATCCCATTGGTTATTTAAAGGCGTCCTCCTCTTTTCCGCTTTTGAGGATAAAGATTTACGCTAAAGCTCTGCACGTTTATGGATCAAAGTCCCATCAGCGTTTCTTAAGAGAAAAAATGCTAGCATTGATCTTGAGTGAACTGTATACATTTGTCTTTGGTATCTTTCTTTCAATATTTCGGACACAGACGAGCACACACAATCTTTTTTCTAGGAAATGAAACTATAATTCCGGATTTAAATCGCGTTTATTGGTTTTTCCAAATAAACCAACGTTTCGGGTCCTTTACAGGGCCCACGGTCACGGTTAACTGAGGTGGTACAGTCATCAACCAGTTATGTCTAATATTAATGCAAACCACCCTATTTTTTCAATATAGTTACAAAAGTTATTAATTAAATACCTTATTTTTAATTTTACAAAGAAACATTCCAATTTACGCTACATTACGTTTTACAAATTATTTTATTGAATTAATTTGTGATTAAGTTCAATTTAGTATTAATTAATAATAGAAACTAGAATAAGTTAAAACATATTAATTAGTTTGACATCAGCTAAATGTTCTTTGACACAGGTACAAATACTTCGCTTCGTTTATCTAATATAAGAGAGACCGCACTCACAGTCAAGCTTGTAAACTCCTGCATCCTGTACCTGAGAAATCTTCCTCAGGGGCATGAAATAGGTCTTGATAGATGCACGCCTGAGGACTAATTAATAATTAATTAACTAACTTTTGTGAAAAATAGTTTCATTTCCTATGTGTAACAATCGCGAAAACCTAAAAAATCTTTTTTCTCTTCTCATTTTAATGTTCCGCGAAACCTTTTGGGTGGTAGCTGAAAATCAGCGCGTCGTTTTTGGCGGCGTTTTTACGCAGACCTGCGTCCTATTCACCACGGCAGCACACATGATACATGTTTCTATTATAAGTTGATTATATATATTAAGTTTGATTTTGTATTTGTTTTTTATATAATCCTGTTTTTGTTCGTTTTAAGTATTTACTTCATTGTTTGTTCTGTCTTTGTACTTCATGTAACGTTTGTGCTTTGTTGGCAAATAAACTATCTATGTATCTATCTATCTATCTATTTCAGTGTAGTATTTATTTGTTGTTGTTGGAAGCTTGGAATAGTTGATTTTTTTCGCTCTTTCAAAGTCCGACGCTTAAAATTCTCTGTATATATACTTTTCTTTTTTTTATTATATTAAGTGACGGGACGACCGAGTCGTGCACTGGTGGTAAGCGACACGCCTGTCCATAACAGTTGCAGTGCCACTCAGAGCTTTAAATCGCAAGGATCTGAGACATAAGTTGACAAGTCCCAAATGCCTGTAATAGCACCCTTATCCTACAAAACTGGAACACAGTAAAGCTGACATTACTGCTTGGCGGCAGAAATAGGTAAGGTGGCAGTACTTCCCTGGACTAACTCTTTCACAAGGAACCCTACTGCTTCTCAAAATATACCTGTATAATTTATGTCAATTGTATCATATTGTTACTGTAAAAAACAGTACGTTACTGCTTAAAACTTTATGAGCATTCCATACTCTTTAAAAATCTCGAAGACGTTTTAAAGGCCCTTTATTTTACATATTTTTTTTTTACTTCTAGGTTGCTGAGTAAGTTGCCGAACTCCTACGCCTTCACGAAGGCGCTGGGAGAGGCTTTAGTCGTCGAGGCTATAGAACAAGGGCTGCCCGCCATGGTGCTCCGACCCTCCATCGGTGAGTCGTCATTTAAATTAGTTCCTATAATCCCCATATAGTTCCGTTAACCCAATAGTTTGGTATATAAGAGGTGTGATAGTTGACACTGAAACCACGTTAGCAAAACTAAAATAAAAAAACTATGTAAGAGTCTCAGTTTGAGCTGGTTTTCAGACTTTTTTGGTGGAACTAGTTATATTTTATATTAATAAGTTGTCCTGATTAGCTCTGATAAAATTGTCGCAACAACATACACAACTTATAACTATAATAATAACGCACACACTCAACATAGTCCCGCATTAGGGAAACTCTGTGTGACGGGTGCCATGGACACACACATAGACAACCACAGATTACACCCAAACTCACGAGAGAAATAAATGTAGGTCATACAAATCTCTGCGTGGCAGTCCGAACGGTATAGTAACCGTTCGGCCATGGAGGCAGTTAACTATTCCTAACATAAAACAAAACAATTTTCTTTTCGTTTTGAAAGTTGATTATGTATATACTATGTAGTTATTTTGTGTGTAAATTTAATAATTTAGAGCAATATGGGGTGTCTGGTAACTGAAAGCAATTATAGACATTTTTAATCCTAAAATCCCCATAGGATGTGCAAGGGATAGTGGAATTATTAGAACAGAAATCTCCAAAAATAAATTTTAGTGGCACGCTATTGTTTATTTATTTAATTCTTTAGTATAGAAGAGAAAGATATATAAAGAAAATCTATCTGTGTTCTTCTAAATTTGGAACCTTTGGATAGCTAAACTTATTGCTTGACAGAAGTAGCTGCTAGCCTTCTCGTCACCGGAGGCTTCATTAATATATCTGTTTATCATGTGACTGTAAGTGTGAAGCTGTAATATCCAATCACACTGTGACATTATTTGATTTCAGTGATTCCCATCTGGCAGGAGCCCATTCCTGGATGGACGGACAACATCAATGGACCTACAGGCTTGCTGATTGGTAAATACTTCAATTTAATTATTACTGCAGGCTGGAGACGCAGGGTGAATATGGTCTGACATCCTTGCAAATGTTCTTTTTCTTAATGTATCGATTTCCTAGGGTGCCTAGTTTCCTAGATTGTGTAGGGTGCGCTAGACATAAAATAAAATAATCGATGACTGCCAAAACGGTTTCCGTAAAAAACGCTCGACTACATTAGCGGTATATATACATTCTTAACATTCTAAATAAAAAACAATACGCCGCAGGCATATTGTTAGACATGACCAAGGCCTATGATAAAGTCCAATACAAAATCCTGTTACATAAATTACACGGAATAGGAATACGAGGTGTAGCGCATAAGTGGTTCGAGTCATATTTAAAAGATAGGGAAAAATTCGTAGAAATTGAACATTTTGATCAGAACTCTGTTACAATTGAAAATATTCGATCTAACAGTAAAGTCGTTAATGCATCTGTCCCACAGGGTAGTGTGCGTTGTGTTGGATGCTTATTATTCATCATCTACTTCAACGACTTACCTAAAACTATAAAGGAACATTGTGTCCTATTTGCTGACGATGTCTCTTTGCTTACCACATGTCGTATTAGTATAGATGTAAACACAGCTTCACTGCTCCAAACCATAGTCAACTGGATGACCGATCGCAACCTTGAGATTAACTTTTCAAAAACCAAAATAATAGCTTTTTATCCGTACCAAAAGAATGACTTAAATATTAACTGTAATTTCAATAATATACATTTAGATTGCGTTCAAGAATTTACTATGCTAGGCTTAGTTTTAGACACACATGTCAATTGGAAACCACATATTCAAAAATTAAAATCTAAAATCGGCAGATTTGCGAAATAAAGAAAACAACTGATTTAAAAAACCGCGCTCACCACTTACTACGCGTATGCCTATGCGTGGCTCAACTACGGTGTAATGCTATGGGGAAACAGCACCGACTGAATCTCCTTTAATTTTGACCTTACAGAAAAAAATAATAAGAATTCATTGATATAACCGAAAGTTGCAAACCCTACTTCCAAAAATACAATATTTTAACTTTACCATGCATTAACATTTTTGAATCCTGTAAGTTTGTCAGAAAAGATCCTAATCTCTATAAAAAACGGCAAGACATATCTACAAACTATTGTCTTCGACACCAAAACAGACTTATGTTACCAAATTCAACTCTTTCTCTCCATCATCAAGGCCATTTGTAATGTCTTTAAAAAATTATAATGAGTTACCAAACTCCATAAAAGAAATACCCAGTGAGAACAGTTTTACATCATATTTGAAAAAAAAAATTGTAGATATAATATTTAAACGATGAAGAAATATATTCCTATTAAAATAATTACTGTTGTGTAGTTAGTTAACATACGTGTATAAATACTACGTATAAATACTACCGTAATATTTTGTTATTATTATTAATTTTATTTTCTTTTTTAATAATACATATAGATATTTATTAATCTTTCAAAATAACAAGTATTGTAATAGTTTTTATTTGAGATTTAAGAGTTGTCTTTTTGTTTCTTGTAAGGTTTTTAAGGATTTTATTTGTTAAATGTTGCCCTCTCTGTGTGTTTTTGCTGTGCCCAGCAGGGTCCCAAAGCTCCAAGTAATTTAAGCGTGTCCACCTGTTACATTACAATAAAGCATTGAGTATTGACATACAGGCAAGGAATGTTACGTCACGTCGTGTAGCAGTGGTGGATTTACCCTAAGGCCCAGTAGGCCCGGGCCCAGTGTAGCCAGATTTTAGGGACGGGCAATCGTCACAAAAAATCCACTGATGACAAGAAATAACTCAAAGTACTTAAATATTCAAAAGGCTCACGCACATTATGGCGGGCTGTCCTGCATCGCATCGTTTAGCAATAATCTTTCTAAATCACTTTCGTACATTTTATGTTAAAAATATAGAAATGTTATATATCTATAATGTAATCTATAATCACTATATATTATCACTACCGCGTCTGTCTGTCTGTCTGATTGCGATAAACTCCAAAACTACTAAACGTATTTTTATGCGGTTTCCACTAATAGACAGAGTGATTCATGAGGAAGGTTTAAATGTATAATATATTTAGGTTTTGTGTAAGTTGGCTGAAAAATGACGATAATTCTCTGGCCACACAGAGGCGGCCGCGGAAGCGTTCCGGGCGCGGGAATTATTGTAATGTACGAGTTTATATGAACCCTGCCACACTGAAACGCATGATCGAAGGTGTCGGAAAAAAATTATGCCGGCTGGGCGCTTTGTATTTTGTTTTTAATATCTTTTCAATAGGTGCTGGCAAAGGTGTGATTCGTAGTATGTACTGCAAGAGCAACAGCTACGCCGACTACCTGCCGGTCGACGTGTTCATCAATGGTATCTTGATCAGTGCATGGATGTACATCGTTGATGGGTATGTAGCACAAAACAATAAATACAGTAGTGGTGGTTGCTTAGCGTGTGATGTGCGCCAACTACAGGTTTCGATAGACCTACTTGAGCTCAGTCCGTATGTATCAATCAGTATGGTTGTGTCATTCTTACGTGCAAATTCTCTAAAATCCTAGAAAAATGCCTTATTGTGCTTATTTGGAATGCAAAAATGATAGCTGCACCAAAAATATTACTTGTAGTAGTATTTCATATATCGGTAAGTCTTATATTAATAAAATTTCAATTTTCTGTTTATCGTGTTCCAGCTACTAATAATAATAATAATAAACTATAATAAATAACTCAACATAGCCCCGCACTAGGGAAACCCTGTGTCGCGGGTGCCATGGACACACACATAGACAACCACAAATTACACCCAAACTCACGAGAGAAATAATTGTAGGGCATACAAATATTTCTCCCGGCCCGGGAATCGAACCTGAGACCTGACTGAGAGAGTTCGGCCACGGAGGCAGTTTACTAGCTACTGGTCGTAAGATAGCAGCACGTTGAATAAAATTTCAATATAGAAGTTTGGAAGTTTGTAATGACAAACTGTCCTCTGGTCTCGTTTACGAAAATAAGTAGAACCAACCTTTACCATTTAATGCAGAATAATTGGTCTTCCCCCACTATAATTTGCCTTTATTGAGATTTAAGTACTAAATTTACAGATAATCTACCTAACACACATACAGGTATCTAACTAACTTCATAGTTATTGAGTTACAAATAATAAACAGATTGCCAACGATCATGTAGTTGCTGTTCATCTTATTGTTATCATCAATAAATCAATTTATTTGCCGTACCGACTATGAATTCTCCTCAGCTTTAAATATCCGGTTCTACTATCCGGTATCCGGCCGGATATAGTTCTGCTATCCGGTATCCGACCGGATAGTAGAAATAGGCCGGATACCGGATAGTTACCGGATATCCGTTTCATCTCTAATCGAGATCAATTTTTATTTACATACATTTTAACAAGAACAGGCGGATATGATTATCTATATGGAATTAAAATAAAAACTTTAAATCATGCCTCCTCTTTGTATTTTTCATAAGCATAACGTCTAAATACAGTGTATGTATGAGTGCACTTACAAAAGTTCTAATGAACTTGGGCTCAGTAATTGGATGAATAATGGGTCGAGGATGATTCAAATGAAACAAGTTCGGCTATGTATTCCATAAGTGTGACCAATATTCAGTCGATAGTCGATAGAATGTTTATCGACATTGCGAGCAACACTTTTGTGCAACGAACTGTCATTTTACTCCGTCTTCAAAAAAGACAGACTATAAAAAGTATTGACTTACAATTATATGGACGTCGGGTCCGCGCTAAAAAGTGTCCGAACTTATAGGGCGTTAAAATCGTATACAGAGCGTCATTCGCGCTTTAGTCTTCGTTTGTTCGATTGACAGCGAAGCAAGCAAAATTAGATAGTACTGCGATGACATTACAATTTAAATTCAACGTTTTAGCTTTTTCATATTCCTTTACATGTCACTACGTTTAAATAGATTGACTTGGGACATTTTTTTCGTGGTTTTTGTATTAGACCCGTCGTCCATTTACTTGTAAGTCAATGATAAAAAGATCATTTTTTCGTTGCATATCAACTCGCGGCGAGTGGACGCCATGAGGCGGATAGAATAGAATGGTATACGTTTATTTACCATAATACAGTATTTATACAGATCTTGAGTAAAATTAGGTATACATTGTATTCAACCTGCACGCTGGTGTGCAAATATTAATGGTATTTCAAATTTGTCTCTACAATTACAAATCAATTTGTATTTGTAATTAATATCAATTGGTATTTGTAACTACTAAATATTCATAATTACTTTAAAAGCAATGTGTCAAAAGCTATTTTGTCAATTGTGATTTAAAAGTTAAATCCTTGTTATTTAATTACATTAGATAAATTATTAAAAAAATCTTATAAATGTATTGAAGCTGTTATTCTTATAACCGAAATAGTGTCAATTTCTTTTCGTTTTAAATAATCTTTGATATCATATGTACACAGATCACATAACAAATCAAATAATTTAGTTTTAAATATGTTTAAGGGTAGGTCTGCGATCGCTGCAGGCAAAGCATTATTTATCTTTATGGACATATTATAGCAATTCCTAGAAAAGCAAGTACTGCTCTGGGAGGGGCCAGCCAAGCGGTTGGGATGTCAAGTTAAAAAAGTACATACCTCTCGTTTCTCATATCTAGTTACTCCCGTATCCACTAACGGCATTATTTTATGTAATTCAACTAAAAATTGTCATTATCATTTAAATTTCAGAGACCACAAGAACACAGTGGTGAATTTTACGTCCTCGGCGGAGATCAAGGTGACTTGGTCAGAGATGATCGATGCGGGAAGGGACATTATCATGAACAGACTGCCTCTTAACGGTGTGGCTTGGTAAGATGGTCCGTCGACGAAAGAATGCAATAACAATGTTTAAGTACAATAATAACAATGTATGTGCTAGAATATTATATCAATTACCTAGTTTCAGACGGAATTGCCTGAGTGCCACAGTAAAGAAATTAACTCGTGGGGTAATTACTACTCAAGGAAGATTTGCAATTAAAAAGTGCAATGATTACCCGTATTGTTTCCTTTGTTGTCGGAATTATTGGATGAGATAGCCTAATGCCATAGTATAATAAGTGCGAATGATGACTATCAATTATAATTATGTGTTATGGTTTGTAATGTAAACTTCTGTTTTGAATGAAGTAAATAATTTTTAAGACGTAGTCCAGGGAAGTACTGCCACCATATCTATTTCTGCCGCTAAACAACTAAAAATAAATATCATGAGACTTGTTAACTTGTGTCTCAGGGTGACGGGCGCAGTGGCAGTGCCTATAAGATCTTTACGATTTAAAGTACTGAGTGGCACTGCAACTGTTATGGACAGGCGCAACACCAGGCGCACACTTATTCATCTCGTCACGTGTTATTATAAAAAAATACCCACACGCGTTTGATTTTGGTAAACTGTATACTTTTAACTGTTACTAGGTACCCTGGTGGTTCCATGAAGCATTCCCGTCTCTACCACAACATCTGCATGGTGCTCTTCCATTGGTTACCAGCTATCTTCGTCGATACACTGCTCTTCTGTCTCGGATATAAGCCTGTGTAAGATTTGAGCAGCAATTTAATAACTCATCTGGTCCAGTGAAACCCAAATTCCATTTTCGTTTTCTCTTTTATGGGGATTTTTAAATTTTTAAACCTGTCATATTTATCATTAGGGGAATTTCGGAATTCTAGTGCTAGATTTCCCTTAAATTAATCATTAAATAATTCATTTCTTTATGATACACTTTGTGGCATACCAAGTTTTCTTAGTTTTTATGTAATTTTGATGCAATAATTGGTAATATATTATAATCATTCTCTCCAATTAACGCAACCTAATATTACTATAACAACAATAGAATATAACAATAACAGATTTAAGCAGTAATAGGAAATGTAAATTTATTATAATTTAAGTCTTCAATATCGTAGAATGTCATATCATTCAGGTAATTAAATAATAATTTCTTAATTTCTGCACTATCATTGCAATTTCTTATTTCACGTGGATGTTTGTTGTAGACCCTCGTAGACACTGGCCACTACTATTACACTCTTATGAAATGGAGAAGTTTTACATGATCTAGTTTTCGGTTGAATTCAAATAAAAAATTAAAAGCTTATTATAATTTTCAGATTAATGCGCGTGCAGCGCCGGATCCAAAAAGGCTTCGAAGTTTTCGAATACTACACAAACAATCAATGGGACTTCAAATCGGATATCGGTCAGACTGTACGACAAAGGCTTAACACGCGTGAACGACGCGACTATAAAGTCGACGCTGTCGGTAAATAATTACATCATGTTCCACAAAAGACATGAAACTATTTTAACAAAGTGTAGCCGCGGAAAATGTCATCTGCGATTGTAGAATACCTAAACAACATGCTGAACGCATAGAGCGAATCGACTAAAGTAAACTCAGATACACATTCACCGTTGAAATGTTACTTTTCAGAACTGCTAATATCATCGCTTCGCATCACTTAATTTCCCCAGTTCATCCTCCTCCAAGCTCTTGTTAATTGGTAAAACATGTGAAGTTTTCCAATCCACACTAGGTCAGCGTAGCAAACTATGACATGAACTCTCCCTGCATTATGTTATTAGGGCTCTGTTATTGATTCATTCTATAAATTTCATTAATTATTACACAAATCCCCACTCACGTAACTTGCTATGCTTTGGGGATTTTCGGAAAAAAATCACTACCAAAATATTATTTTATTTTATTACGTACATTGCATTTTTAGGTGACTACGTTAGTGGTGATTAATGGAATACATTGTTTAACATTTTTTTCGTCAGGGCTGGACATATCAAAATACTTCGAAGACTGCATTCATTCAGCCCGTATCTACATTCTGAAGGAGTACGATGACACTATTCCAGCAGCGAGGAGACACATGAAAGTGTTAGTAACATTTGCTCTAAACCAAATAGCAAACAAGTTTCGAGTTTTTCATGATTGCTACACATTGTAGATGCAACTATTTTATATGGAACTTAAATGGAGTATATTTGTTTTTCAAATAGAATCAGTAACCATTTCTGAAAATATAGTTCAGAATACGATCGTTTGCCTTAAATTTAATATAACTGTTTGATGACTAACCATCTCGACCAGCCATAACTATGGGATCGAAACGTAGGTAGGTATGTCTGAAAAACAAATAAACTTTATTTTAGGTTCGGATAAATTAGCTTCATTTCTCAAAAAAGATTCTTTATTATTTATACAGTCCACAGTCATTTAAACAGTCTGTTACAATAGTGCTGCATGTCGTTAACAACTCTCGGAAAATGTGTAAAGTTCCAACCAGCATTGGGTCAGTGAGTCGTGTAAATGATGTTGCTACAATTGTGTTATAAAAAAACAATTCCACAAATCCCCACTTACATAGTAATTGTTTATTGGGGATTAATAGAAAAAGAAAACGTCACCAAATTTAATTGTACCCTATATTTATGTTCGCTATCTAAATACCTATTACATCGCGCAAGGACGACTTAAAAAAATAGCGGCCGATAACTTGTGTAATGAGAAATCGTTAAGTCTCTACATGACTATACTATCATATTTTTTCAGAATGTGGTGCGTTGACGTCGCTACACGGCTCATATTCTGGGGCCTGATGCTCTACTGGATGAGTGGCTGGTTCTCGTCTTTCTACACCTCTCTTGTCGGAGGAGAACGTACCGCCCCTGTGCCCAATGTGATGGCTGCTTAATACATAAGCCATATAAACTTAACTATTACTTACCCTATGACCTAACTTTATAATCCGTAACTGAAGTCACCGCAAGCCGTCAACCAAACTTTGGCGCCTACAATTTTTTTAATAATTATCATTAATATACGCGTTTTTCTATGTATTATTTTGTTTCAAAAGCATTTATTGGTAGCTCAATGTTGAAAAAGTAAAAAAGATTACGAGCGCCTGAAAGACTGCTGGCAGCATTTTTTTTAAATCCGATAATTGCTATGAAAAACGTATTGGCGCTTATTATTTTCCTATACTTAGTTTTATGTCGATTTTTTCCTTGTTATTAACTTTATGTCATTCTTTGTACCAAATGAATAAGTATCTATTTGAGTAGGTAGAAATTCAAAATCTTTAGACGATTTAAATGCTTTATTTTCTAAACATTCGCACACTGAAAGTGATAGTGACACAATGCAAAATACTCGATTTTGAGTGATGAGCTATTAAAATGTAATTTTTAACTCAATAAATATTTTTGAATGCAGTTTTCTACTACAATTGTGTGTAATCTACATAGTTTTAGAAGTATTATACTAACTTTCACCTAGCACAATAAAATAAAGGTATTTTTTTTTACTCCTGTAGTATATTAGTCTTAATGCATAACGACACTATCAAAAAAATACGGTATCTTTCAAGGAGTTAGAAGTAAACTGTTCGACACGTCAGCTATCTCTGTCACTACAAAAAGGTATACCTATACCCCGTTCACATTATACAGTATAAAGTTGTCCATTGAAGAATATAGGGACATGATCTTGTAATATATGTTGTAATTTAATAAATTATTAGGTATAAAAGTTATTTTACAGAAATGGATAAATTACATAAACTTAACGCATGCGATCATTGACTTACAAATAAATGGACGACAGGTCTAACACAAAACCCACGAAAAAAATGTCCCAAGTCAACCTATTTAAACGTAGTGACATGTAAAGGAATATGAAAAAGCCAAAACGTTGAATTTAAATTGTAATGTCATCGCAGTACTGTCTAATTCTGCTTGCTTCGCTGTCAGTCGAACAAACGAACACTAAAGCGTGAATGACGCTCTGTATACGATTTTAACGCCCTATAAGTTCGGAGCCTTTTTAGCGCGGAACCGACGTCCATATAATTGTAAGTCAATGCATGCGATCATTATTTTGACATAAGTATTATTATATTATTTAGTATGTTCCTACATTATTTCACATAACTACTTAGTTACATAGTACAAAACTTGTACTGGATATTTGTAATTTTTTGAAATATAACATTTATTACTATTTGTAACGATTCTTGTAATACAATATACATATTGTATATAATAATTTGCATTATAAAGTTCGACTCTGAAATCCAAGATGGTGTTACAAATTAAAAAATGACGGTTTTTGTATAGTGACATTATCATTTTCTATGCGATATTGTAGTCTATCTGTATGAAATGATATTTTACTAATTAAGATATAATTTTAGTAATTATTCATTACTCAACCATCGGTTTATACTTATACCATGAGTGTTATCAAATAGTGTAAATTTTATATAACTACGCGATACCTAAATGATATCGCGAGGAAATTCGCGCGTTAAAGGCATATCAAAAATGTTTGTAGATAATTAACTAAAATTTAGAATTACGAAATCGTTAAACTTCCAGTTTAATTATTGTAGTATTTTGTCATGTCACAAATATGATATTAGGTACTTTAAGTTGATAATGTGATGTAGGTAAAAATAAAGACTTTTGTACACTGATTTGGTTATTTCAACGACTACCAAGATAGAAATAAGTTAGCCCTCTCACACTATTCGCATTTAATGGAATATAAGCAGAGCCAACTTCGAGTAAGAGGTCAATCGTCGAATCTGACTCGGTTGGGCAGCTCTGTGACGTCTTCTCGTCCGCAATACCGCTGTTCTTGTAAACAAAAGTTTTCAAGCAGTGCGTGTTGCCAGTGATGACCTACGGCTCCGAGACGTGGTCACTTACTATGGGCCTCATAAAAAAGCTTACAGTCAAGAGAGGTTCTCGAATGGAGATCACGCACCGGAAGGCGTTCAATGGGACGGCCCCCTACTTGATGGACGGATGACCTGGTAAGGACGGCGGGAAACAAAATTCAAATTCAATTCAAAATTCAAATTATTTAGTTGCTTCAAACATGGTATAAAAGTTGTAGCAAAAAAAAAAGGAAAACCAGTACAAACATGTTTCGCATATCCGATAGCATGCAAATGTCTAATAATATTATCTTGATTGACTATCACAATTTTAAATAAAATAAGTCACAATTTTCACAGATTAAGTATGTCAAGAATTAAAATAATAATAAAAATAAAAATTCAAGAATTACAAAAAAAAAATATGTCAAAAGTTACAAAAACAAAATACATATATATGTCAAGAATCACAAAAAATATTTAAGTTTTTTTTAAATAATACATAATTATTGTTCCAAGAATTCATTCCCACTGTAAAATTTTTTTACAACTAACCATTTGTACAATTCTGTAGTCATTTGTGTATATGTCAGTTTTTTTATTTCATTGGGTAGTTTATTATAAGTTTTTATACATGTGTAGTACGGACTTTTTAGGTAAAGAGTAGTCCTAGGTACATGGTCTACAACAAGTCTATTAGGGTTTCTTTTTGCACGTGGATTTATTTGAATGGCTATTTTGAATAAATGTGGATTCTGCTTGACAAACTTACAAACTTCGAATATGTACATACAAGGGAGTGTCAGAAGATTTAAGTCACCAAATAGTGGTTTGCATGATTCTCGTGGGCCAATGCCGCACATTGCGCGAATACATTTCTTTTGGGCTACAAACCGATATATATAGTCTGGAAATCTTTGGGGGAGGCCAATGTTCAGCAATGGACGTCTTCCGGTTGATATGATGAATGGACTATAACCTAAAACTATCATTCTCGGGTTAGTGTTCACTACCTAATTTACGTGGCAATTTTATTATTTAAGTATTTAATTCTTTTACCGTGCAATACTATTTAATATTCGAGTATTGTATCGTGAAATATTATTTAATAATTATATGACAATGTATTTGAATATTTAAATAATAAAAATTGCCATGGAAATTAGGTAGTTAAGACTAGTCTGAAAATGACCGAAAAACGTCTTCCTGGAAGATACCCCTTACACTAAACCCGCGTTTAGTATTGATAAATTGTCTTTCTTCTTGGTAACTATAATAATAATAATAATTTTATTTCCTTCACACACAATTTCAAAGATAATAAAACATTCTTTAGTAATAAAACATTTGTTGTCTGTGAAGGCTGGAGCCTAAACTAGGATACCCTGTGCTATAGGTCTCCAGGCCTCCGCCTACGGATAAAGTGTCAATAAAACATTGACTGCGTCACGATTGATTGCTATGAGAGAAAGTTACTCAAAATTTGGTTTATACAAATCAAAAAATTATAAATATAAATAAAATTCAAGACTAGAGGGCAAGTATTTTGTAGTGTGTGTTTGTGTTTGTGTTTGTGTGTGTGTGTGTGTGTGTGTGTGTGTGTGTGTGTGTGTGTGTGTGCGTGCGTGTGCGTGCGTGTGTGTGTGTGTGTGTGTGCTATACCTTGAGTGATGGGACGAAGAAGTCGTGTGCCTAGGGCCTGTCCATAGCAGTTCTGCCGTCCTTATCTATAAACCATTGAGTATATAACCAGAATAGAGACGTCATTTAATTTGTTTGAAAACTATTCTGACATATCATTACGGTGACAACTACGCTCGGATTGGCCAATCCAATTCGAAACAATTGACCGGTGTCGTCAACTGTTTCACTTCAATTCGACCAGTTTAACTTGAGCTTTGCTGTAATGGACGAAAATTGCAAAATTACCAATGAAATGTGATTTCGCTTGTTTTATAATTAGATGCTTTGCTGTTTTTCCCAAACCACAAAATTGAACACCCGCCCATAGTCAGAGATATTATCTTTATTACAATAAATACAGAATATTTTTGGAATATACGGAGACGTCCACACAGGTCAGTTGCTGGCGCTGTACTGTTTCAGCTTTCTAATTTGTGATTTCAGCGCGAACGAGAGTTGATATTTAAAAGTGATATAATGCCCATTTACCTGATGGGTTGCCAGGGATGGATGGCCCTTATTTCTGCCATTCATTAACTAAAACGTGGCTGTAACAAATGATCAAATAAATCGCAAATTGTCGCGTTACGAAGAGAGGTTATCCCATTTTAAGGTTATGTCCTTTAATTCTAGACGTAGGGTACAGGATCTTCTACATTTACATAAATTGCTTCACGGCAGCCTTAAATCGTCAACGCTTCTGTCCCATATTACTTTTAACATCAAGTGCAATCCACGACGCCTTCCTAGACCATTCGTATTGAATGTTTATACTAATAATACTTCTTTTTACAACCCTTTGACGAGAATGTGTCGGGCCTACAATGACCTTATGGCTGACCCTGGCGATGATTAAGGGATGGATATATTTGATGGTAATGTTAAAAGATTTCGCAATCGCATCCACAACCACCACGGTTTCTCTCTTTCATGGTTATTGTCATAGTAATTCTATTTTATTTAAGGTTACAGTTTTATTTATACCTAAGTATTTTATATTAATTTACAAACAATTTATATTTCAAACAAAATTGTTTACTCATGATTGGTCATGCTGTATGTATGTTTAGGATTACATTCAAGAGTAGAACTAGTAGTAATGTTTAAGCTTTGGTTAACGAGTGAATGTAAACTGTTTTGTACACCTAATAAATAAATAAATAACCATTTTAAATAGCAAAAAATAGAGTACAAAATTCTCTTTGGATTGGAACTTACCCTTACGATGCATAGCTGAAATATCACCAAACAATTTTAATATTCTAAAACTGGGCTATGGTTTTTTATGATATCTCAAAAAATTATTTTGTCACTTAGTCACGTTGTCGTTAACGGGCCGTAGATTTCGTCTCTATTTCTGTTTATATACTCGATGTCACAAACAATATTGTCAATATTTTCAGCTAAATTGAGTTGTTAAAATGTGGAATCAGAGAAACGAGATCTATAACCCCTTTAAGCGTTTTTTAAGTCTTATTTCGTTTCAGTTGTATCATTAAGTGACGGGACGGACAAGTCGTACGCCTGATGGTAAGCTACACGCCTGTCCATAACAGTTGCAGTGCCACTTAGAGCTTTAAATCGCAAAGATTTGAGAGGCACTGCCACTGCGCCCGACACCCTGACGCATAAGTTGACAAGTCCCAAGAGCCCGTACCAGCACCCTTACCCCTCAAAATCGGAATGCAATAATTCTCACATTGTTGCTTGGCGGCAGAAATAAATAAGGCGGCTGTGCTGGACCCTGGACGAACTCTTTCACATGAAGCTCTACTGTTACTGACCTCTTTATAAAGTTACCAAACTGAGAATTGTAAAATCTGGAGAAATCAGGGTAGAACCAAAAACTATCGAGCCATGGAAATGAGGTTTGTATTGGCATATGTTTCGTCAAATTCATTTACAAAAGAATATGTTTTTTTTAACGAGTAGATGGCACCGATATCGTGACATAATCTTTACCTACATACGCGTTCGTAACTGCAAACCGGTCTTTTAGTAAGGATGGGACATGTGTCGATAAATTGGTATCGATAAAACGGAGATTTTATTTTCATTTATCTGCACAATACATTTTTGAAACGATGAAAAAGTGATTATTATATTATTAGTTTGTATTTAGTATTAATAGTGTGCTAGACGGCGTCAACTCTGTTCTCCAATTAGGGAATTCACTGTACACTCACGTCATAATTTATGAGTACCAGAGCAATGAACCTAACAGTTTTACTTACAGAACTTCGTTCGAACATCCCGGCGGTGTTAACC